TTTTTTGTGTGTGTTTTTCACTGCGAGGCTACAAAATAAATATGGGAAACCCTTTAAGTTACAAATGAATGTATAACAGAGATAAAAAGGGCAAGGATGAACACATTAACTCGTGAATATGAACTCCTTAGAATGAAACCTGATAGAGCATTTATGATATGAAAAAAATACTTTATCCACATTGTTAATCACATAATAACTCTTGGAAAAGTTTTTCAATATGACGACTTGTTTGTAAAAGTCATTAGATGCTTAAACCGTAGTTGGAAACTCAAAGTATATGTGATTTTTGAATCTAGGGATTTGTCATCCATGAACTTGGCTACTCTTTTATGATAAATTGCAGAAATATGAGATAGGGCTGAAAAGAATTGCAGATGATGACGAAAACGACAAGAAAAAGAAAATTCTAGCACTCAAAGTAGAGAGGAAAATGATTTATACTTTGATGAAGAAATGATATTAAAATTTCAAAACATCATATGGTTTATGAAATGAGAAAAGAAATAAGACGAGCAACAAAAAAATAAAGGAAGATAATCATTTACTCCTACATGCTTTCAATGTGGAAATATGAAGAACATAATACCAATTTGCCCTTAGAACCAAAAAAGGAACCATAATCTGAGAAAGTTCAGGAAACCTTAGAAATAAGAAAAGAAAGCTTACATTGTATGAGACGATAACAAAATAGATTATTCATATTATGAAGAAGCTAGCATATGTCTCATGGCATAACATGAAGAAAAATAGGTATTTTCTTATTTCTCTTATCATGACTTATTTCTTATTTTTAAGAAGTTAAATAAAGAAACAAGTAAGTTAAAATAACTTTTCTCCACTTTTAAAGAAACTATTTCTTCCCTTTAATTCTAGCGTATCGTGTTAGAATTATCCAGAGGGTTATGCAAAGATTACAATCCAACATCACTTGTTTTCTCAACCAAAGGGGTTCCATGCACATCTTCTTGCTATTCCTCTTCTTTTTCTTCAAAAGTATAAAGTCCCAATTTATTTAATTAATTTTAGTAAATAAATTGTGTGATGGTATATGTTGATTGATGATTTGATGTGTTAGAGGAACCCTTAGATGCAAGGTGGTAACCTTAGAAATGTAGGATTTAAAGTGTTTGGAGTGTTTGAGAAAAAATATAGAGGTTAAGGGTGGTAGAAGTGGAGTGGATTAATATTAGTTAATTATAATTATTTTAATTATTTAAATAGTATTAGAGGAATATTATTTAAATAAGTTTTTAGTGTGAATAATATTCATTTCATTTAGTGGAGATAATATTTATTTAGTTGGAATAAGTAATAATAATAATATAAAATGAGAAAAGATTATGGAACAAGGAGAAAAACTGTCAGAACGTGAAAAGAGAAGAAAAGAGGAAGAGAGCTAGGACATAGGAGAAGAAGAGCCTCCATTAGAGAAGCTTCAAACTCATCAATTCAAGATAAGGGTGAGACTTTCTCTTGTATAAGGAATTGTATGATAACATGTGGGTGGGTGTTCTAATCTCTCTATAATTGTTTTTCTCTTCTATATGTTATGAGAAATTTGATGTATAATATTGCTATTTTGTAGTATATTTGGATGATTTGTGTGTGTGTGTTGAATAATTTGAAAGTTGGGTGTTGTTAGGAATTAAAGTGTAGAACTTAGATACATGTTTGTCCATAAAAATTGGGGCTTTATGGATGTTTTGGAACTGATTTTCGTAACATGAAACTTACAGAAAATTGCTATTGATTCAGTGGTAACCGGTTACGGGTTTTGGCATAATCGGTTACACCTGAGTTATTTTTCAAAGAAATCACTTTTTCGTCGATGTAGTCGGTTACTAGTTTTGGTGTAATCAGTTACACTGTCTAAAATTCGTAAAACTGGGTATTTTGGGAGGTGTAATTGGTTACCAGTTTTGGTGTAACTGGTTACCACTGAAAAATCATATCTACCTGTTTCTGGACTGAGCGTAATCGATTACCTGGATTGGCGTAATCGGTTATCACTATTGTATGCTGAAAAATAAATAAATTCATAACTTGAGTTTTGGGTGTCTGATTGGGGTATTGTTCAAAGCATTGGGAAGTTGACGGAGTGTACTTTAATTTAAAAATAGTCTTGAAACCTAAAAATAATTAAATGTTGCGTGATGGTGTTGTATGGTATGCGATTTGTATGTTGTGGTGTAATTAATGTGTATGGACATTGTGTTGTTTCTTGAGGTGCTTCTACAATGTTAATACTAATTACTTGTAGTATATATATGTTGTTTGGTGGATGGTGTTTGTGTAGTACATTGGTTAAGGTGAATTCAATTGTGCTTGTTAATTAATGTATATCATTTATGAATCATGCATCATGATGTTTGGACAATGATTAACTCTTTATGGGCCTTAATCTTATGGTGGGGATTAGGTGCGAGTATCTGGTTCCAGGTTAGAATCGGTGAAGTGTTGCCTATGATGATGTTAATTGTTTTTGGTGTGCTCTGATCCTATGGTGGGGATCGGGAGCAAAATGCACCTGAGAGTTCATAATAGTACCATATGCATTGAGTCATAGAGTTGAATCTCATTGCATTGTATATATATTGTATTTATGATGTTCAGATTGTGTGGAGTGAGAAGTGTTGGATGGTTTATTATATATGTGGTATTTATACACTTATACAATATTATGCAATTTCTTTATATGATTGTGAATTCTCATCCCTTCAGTTTGAATGTTGCCTTTACATAGGCATCGTGCAGATACTCAGGAGTAGCTTTGATTGAAGTAAGTGGAATGATAGTTATTGGAGTGACTTCCATTATTTGTAGATTACTAGTAGGGTCTTGCTCTGGTCATGTAACATCGTGTTGGAGTTGTCGTTTGTTATATAACCTATTATGTTGTTTATTTTGGATTGTTGTATGAGTCTTTGGATTTTATGTTGTTGCGAGCTGAATAATATAACTCTCTTTTTTATGTTTTTGAAGTTGAAATAGAGTTTATGAGGCTAATGATTTGAGTACTATATGTTTGATTGTGTTGTTTTAATTGTGTTCTACTGTGATGTGATTCAGATGAGTTGGATGTCATGTAAACATCTAAGGTAACTTATTAGATGAATTTGTATGTTTTGTAAACATCCTAGGTGAGTATAAAATTACATGATTAGTAGGTATTAATTGTTGTGTATGTGTGACATCCTATGTGATAAGTTGAAAAATCTCTGACTCAATTTTGGATTATGTGTTAGGGGTAAAAAGGGTGTTACAAAAAGCATTCTTACTTTCCTTTCGTTGAGTTTGAACTTGACTTTATTGGCTTGATCCTTCATACTTTTGACCACTCCTTAATTAAATGGATTTGCAAGATTCAATGAATTATGTGATTTAGTATAGCTGGGTAGTGCTCTAATGGTTCTAGAACTTATAGAAGAAGTTACCTGCCCTATCTGAGTTTTCAGATATTTGAATCTTACACCTTCCGCTTGAAATTAATTTTTGGTCTCTTGCATAAAGGACTTAATAATTTATTCCAGCTAGTTGTTTCCATGAGTAGCCATATCATGATTAGGTGCAAAAAACTAGGTGGAATGTATGGTGCATGTGGCTTCACTTGGTTTTGGTTGTTTCTCTAATAGAAATTAGGATGATTATTCCAAGTGGAATATGTGGTTCTTGCGACTTCACATAGTTAACATAAACTTGGTTTTCTAAGCATTCTTCAAACATATGGGCTTCCCCGTAGAAAACACATGCAACTTCATATGCATTAGTATTAACCTTGACAGGTTCAACAGCTAGCACGTTAGAAGACGTTAGTAAATTTTTTATCATTTAATGAATTTGAGCCACTTGAGTAGTAAAAGTTATGGCTAAGTGGCTTCATAAACACCAAATGGCTTCTTTATAACCATAGTTGTATATGAACTTGTGACTATTCATTGATATGTATTGGCAGTAATTATTTCTATCACATTGCACCCTTCTTGCTAAGACTTGGACAAAAATTCACCACCAGAGGATGCATCTAACATGTTCCTTGGAGATAAAACTAATCTGTTGTAGAAGGTTTCAAGCTTAATGCATATAGGTATCCCATGGAGTGGATATTGCCTTAAAAGTTCTTTAAATATATTCCAATAATCAAATAAGGATTCATCTTCCAATTTCCTAAATGATATGATCTCATTCCTCTTCTTAGCATTCTTGATAGGAGGAACATACTTGGCTAAGAACATCTCAGTCAAATCATTCTATGTGGCTATGGAATTTGGTTCCTATGAGTTTAGCAAACTTTTAGCTCTATCCATTAGAGAGTATGAAATCAACTTCAACTAGAAAACATCATACGTGACTCTATAGGTTTTGAAATTGCTAGCAACATCCAAAAATTACCTCAAATATAGTTGAGGTTTATCAGTATCAACACTTGAGTATTGGCCAATGGTTTCCAGCATTTAGAACATCATTGACTTAAACTAAAAATGAGCTACAACGATATATGATTCGATAATTCTAGTATTCATAATATTGCATCAAAAATTTTACTCTGAACTTTTCTCATTCACATCGTTTATATCCTTTTAATTTTCATTCGCATCGTTACGTTTTACGCACATTTTACATTTTTTTTTAATTTTTAAATTTCTTATCCATATATAAACTTTTTTTGCATTTAAGATAACTTTAAAATTAGATTTTGGCATTTATTAAAAAAAGAATATAAAAAATATTTATATTTTGTGTTTATTTAAGTTTAATTGAGTTTTTGTTTAACTTAATATTATTATAAAATAAAAGATTTGTATATAACTTTAGATTTAATAATTAGCTGAACATGTAAGAGAGGGGTATTATCTGGTCTTTTCACAAGACCTATTTAGTTTGTGGATAAATTCTTTGGGGATGGTTATAAGCGGCAAGAGAGGCAGATCTAAAGGGGGAGAAGACGCGAAACTCATCTGTAGAACGATTTGGTTCTTCATCGCATCAGCTTCTTTCAGATGCAACACCCCCACTTCACGATTATACTCCCTGTCCGCCTCCTCCTTTATCTTCGATATCGCCAACTCCCTCCATGCTTCCATCTCCAACAACCTTCGCTCATCAACGCGAATTGTCGCGGCATCAATCGTTCTCCGCCAGATTCACCAATACCATCATCGTTCAACAGCGTCTGTTCATCTCAACCACATCCTTTTCGTTCATCAGCTTTAACGCCCAAGCTTCTCCAGCCTCCGTCAAATCCGCTGCTCCGCAAGATTCATCACCGTTCAACTTTAGCTCGACGTCGCAACTCCGCCTTCAATTGGTAATTTTCTATGCCACCTCTTTTGTTTGAATGATTGCGTTGCTGTTGAATATCTTTTTAGTTGATTATGTTGTGATTTCCAGTAATTCAATTCTGCAAAGGACTCATTGATAATACATCATGTGTACTTGAGTTTCAAAGTGGTGTTTAGTTTGATTCTGTGATAAAACTTGAAAATGGTTTGACATTTTGTGTTTGATTGTTTAAATATTAAACTGTTATGCTGCAAAAATTGATTTCCAAATTTCTGACGACAGTAGGATGTTTGGTTAAGTTTGGATACCGATATCACAATGGTGTTATTTGTGCTGAATCATATTGAATTCTTGTCGGTGTTTGTACTTTCCTTCTGATTGATAAGTTCTGCTAGCATTATTGCTATTTAATGAATAATATAGTTTGATTGCATTATGGTGTTATTTTAATTTGTATGATACTTTTGATGTCAGTATCGATTTATCGCTGTTGGATCTGATTAATATGTAGCTTCGATAAGCTTTGTTTCATATTGCCATAACTTTTTTTTTGTTGAAATCAAAACTTTGTTATTTGTGTGTAAATAGTGATCTAGTTTCGTATCGATACCATGTTTAATTGTGAGTGAAGTTTTTGATTCGATTTGTTATTCATGCCGATTTTGAATGTTTGAATGTTTGAATGTTTGTTGCACCACTCTTGTTGGTAATAATGTGGAATGAGTTTATGGCGTGTCTGGTTGTGTTTGAGCTAATTGGAACGAGATTTGGATGATTTTCATGGAACTACTTGTTTTGATTTCGAAGGTTAATTCAGTTACGACATGGTTTTGTTTTTTCCATTGATTTTGAACATGATTGAAATGAATTCTATGGAGTATTTTTAGATTGCATAGTTGCTGCCCGAATTTGATTTAGAGGTTTAAAATATATTTTTAACTCGATTTCTCATTTTACAATGTAAATTCTCGCCTCTTGTTTCATTTGCGGTTTGAAAATCGTGTTACTTTGTGAGTTTACTTGAATTTGAACATGTTTAACATAGTGATACGATGCTGATTTTTGCTTGAGAAATATTCAAGACAGATCAATTAGCCATTTCCTCTTCCCACCTTTTTCCGCGTATAATTGATTAAACTAGTGTTTGATTTTTTTATTTAGTTTTACTATTAAAAATGGATTAGTTTACTAATATCTTTTTTTAACTCGATTAATTAAGTTAGTCAACTATTGATTAATCAATTACACTCTCACTTCATTTCATGTTACTTTGTTTCTTTAGTTAATTAACTAAGAGTCGATTAGGTTAGTTACTTTCGTTATTAAAAATTAATTAGTTTCGACTAATTAATTTGTCCTAAATTAATTAACTTAATCAACTTTCAAGTTAATTAATTAAGCATCAATTCTATATTTTCTTTGTTTTGTTTTAACTTTAATACAGGTAGTAGTCTGTTTCGTCTCGATTCTTATTTTACATGAGACATGCGAATTATTTCTTTGTTATACTGGTTTTGTCTGCCTGTTGGAGCCTTATCTGATATAGTGACTTTTATTCGACGCTTTGAGCCTTTATCTGACACCTTGAGTTTGTTTGATGCAACTTTCGATTGCGATTTATTTTCACATTGATGACGCTTTGATACTTATTTTGAGTATTCAATTTCTGACTCTTTTCTTTGTTGATGAAGCTTTCACGAAGATCCACGTGTTTCTTTTGCTTTGATATCACTTTGTTACAAACTTTTTGTTCGTTTGGTATTGTGTTTATCTATCCTATTTATATTCTGCACTGTCTTTTTGATTTTCTTGCCATGACAAGTAGGAATAGAGATGCATGCCTGAAAGTTCCTACTTTAGATGTGCAAATCTGTTTAAAGTCCTTAAAGGAGGCAATGCTTGTGTTTGTGCAAAGACCTCAAAAGAGACAATGTTTGTGTTTGTTTAAAGACCTCAATAAGAGGCAAATTTTGTAAAGTACTCAGAGAATACAATTGTCCCCCCCTTTTACTTTGTGCTTCCTATCGAGTCAATAAGTGGAGCGAAAGATTCGCAATCGGCTCTCACATTTTCTAGTCTGTCGTTCTTAGCTTGGGTTATACATTGATGCTTTGAACTGTGCTTATTCTTGTCTATTGAGTCAAATAAAATAGAAAAAGGTTCGTAACCACCCCCCACTTTGTCATTCGTTTCGACGATGAGCACTTTGTCATTCGTTTCGACGATGTTAGCTCATGTCTCTTTAAACGTTGATGTTTCAAGTTATTTCTCGATATCGGTATTTGAGAAAATCAAGTGGAAAGAGTTTCTTACTCTCACTTTGAAATCCATTAGATTTATTGTTTGTTGTTAGCTCACACTTGATTTTTGTTTTGGTTTTGGTTCAACTTTGTTCAATTGCATTTGTGTTTGTGTTTTTCTTTAAACTTTTGTATGTTTCCTTAGGATCACTTGTCTCGTTTTCGATTCAAGGTAAATGTTAGATTGTAATCTATGCATCCTAACTTAGGTAGATGTTGCCCATTTTGTATCCAAATTATAGGACCACCATAATATTATAACATTAAGATTATTAGTCTCTCATAGACTTTTTCATTCCTCTTTTGAATCTTTAAAACAAAACTTATTTTCTTAATAAATGTTAAATCATATAAGCATATTATAACCTTTTCAAAAAGACTAATAAAATATTCAATATCATTTAAATTTTTGTGTGTGCTCAAGTACCTTTTATCTTTAAAATCTTTTTCAAGATTAGACATGATTCATTATAATTGAGATGTTCTTCCATTATCCTTGTCGATTTCTCCATTTGAGTATTAGAGGTGTTCACAAACTCTTTCTCATGGTGCGTAGTCTTTTTTTTCTTCTTTATCATACCTTGTGTGAGTTTAGACGACTCTTCTCATTAAAAATGATGACCTTTCTCTTCATTTAAAATCAACTAATAGACAAGTCTTTTCTATAAGAACTACGAGTGCCCTGATCTCCTATTGAATGAAGGGTGATACGTAGGCACTAAAGGTTCACAACCGCGGCGGACACGACTAATAAAACCCATTTCTTTATATATACACTTTGCATATATGCATTTTCCCTTAGCTTGATTAGCTTTAGATATGAATGCACACTTTGATTAGAACAATCGAGTGGATTCTGTAGAGTACCACAAATGTTAGGAGTGTTAATACCTTTTCGTCGTGTAATCGACTCCCGTACCCGATCTCTCGGTCGTAAGACCATGATTTCTCCCTTCTCATGTTTTTCTTCGATGATTTTCTTTTCCCTTTTATGGGATAAATAAATATTTGATGACAACTTCATTAATTTTTTCTCGATGATTTTGTGTTGTTTGCTTCAGCTGACGACTTCATTGAGGACTATTTTCTAAGTGGATCAATTCTAACTTTGTTTGTTTTCTTTTTTGTGTGTTTATCTATTTGCTTTACTTGTTGTTTATTGATTGCATTCCATTATTCAGTATATATGTTGTGCTAGATTTTTTTGTTTTTCAGGTTGGATGAGATGTTACTCTGAGGTAAAAGGCCCATTATCCATACCAGTGTACACATGTTTAGAGTGGATACTAATGTCGAATCTTGTGTCCTTTTGACATGTGCAAGGAGGCATGAGACACCACACACATACGAGGTTCTCTTGACGATGCCTTTGTCTTACACCTTTTGTTCAAAGATGAGGTGTTTGAATAGAGGGCTCTCGACTCTGGTTGCTATTAGGATTCTCTGTTCTGTAGAATACTAGAACCCACATGTGATATGTGAAGGGGATAGGAAATCACGCCTTCATCCTACCTGGTTTTCTTATATTCAAAAAGACAGTGTCGAACATTTGAACCTGTGGTTATGTTGCATTGCTTTGCATGACATTACATATCGTATGCATCCTCTGCATTGTGCATACATCCAGGTTGCCCAGAATCTCATTCCCAATTGTCTTTTTCTCCGTAGTTGTCTGTCTACTGTCAAACTGATTCCTCTACACAAGTACACAACTGGAGCTAATATCAGATTGAGAATGGAAAGCCAAGAACAACACAACATGGAGGTCTGAATGGAAATCGATGAGTTAAAGTCAGACATGACCAAACTTACCGAAATGATGCAAGTTTTAATTTCCAAAGGGGAGCCACCTCAAAGGACTGTTATCTCAGAGGTTATTGTTGTTGTTGATCCTCAATTAATCCAACATCCAGTCACTAATTTTCTAGAGTTTGGGTTACCTCAGAATTATGCTCCACCTGTTGCAACTACTCCAACAGTTGGCCAGTCTCTCTGACCAGTCTTTTAGGCTCCAATTTTCACTGAACCTCGGTCAATCATTTGTGTTGCTTCTCATCAACCTGTTGCCAAGCTTCTTATAGAAACCCTTTATTTGAATACCATGTTGTCAGTCCCCGAAGTGTGAGTCAGGGAGATATTGGTGAGATTGAAGAATTCTGAGAGCAATATCAGACTTTAGAAAATAGACTTCGAGCTATGAAAGGTAATGATGTCTTTGGTATTGTTGTTAAGAACATGTGTTTGGTTTCTGATCTGGTTATGCCTGCCAAGTTGAAGACTCCTGATTTCGAGAAGTATAAGGGGCATACTTGTCCAAGAAGTCATTTGGTGATATACTTTCAAAAGATGTTTGCTTATACAAAGAATGACAACATGCTTATTGACTATTTCCAAGATAGTTTGAGTGGAGTTTCATTGAAATCATATGTGGGACTTGAGAAAGGTCGTATATGATGCTTTCAAGATCTGATTGATGCTTTTATGAAACAATACCAGTATAACATTGACATGGCTCCTGACCGCCGTCAACTGCAAAACATGTCTTAAAATGTGAAGGAATCTTTTAAGGAGTATGCTCACCGTTGGAGAGAATTAACCTCACAAGTTGAACCACCTCTATTTGAGAAAGAGCTCACAAGTTTTTTCATGGATAACCTGTCTCTTTTCTTTTGGGAGAAGATGATTGGTAGTGTGTCTTCTCGCTTCACTGATTTGTTGACTATCGGCCATAGATTGGAAGAAGGAATCAAGATTGGTAATGTGTCTAAATCTGCTAGTGAATCCTCTAATGGTGCAAATAAATCTTTCAGAAACTTCCAAAAGAAGAAAGAGGGTGAAATAATTGATGTTTCAAATGAGAGAGGAGGACCTCACTGTAGGCCTCAGTACTATGATCAACCACAAGTAGCCGTTGTTGCTCCTATGTTCAATGCTCAACCAATTCAGGTTCCTCAACGTCAAGCCGTGGGACAAAATTAAAATTGTGATGCAAGGATTATGACTTAGTTTGACCCTATTCCAATGCCTTACACTGAATTGTACCCTCGTGTGGTTCAGCTAGGTTTGATCACAACAAGGCCGTTAACCCCTCCAGACCCCCTTCTGAAGGTCTGAAAAACACAAGAAAGGGAGGGGGGTGAATTTGGTTTTTAAATAAAAACTTTTATTAAAAATAACCCCCTTTAACTTAAAACAGTTTTTCTTCACTCTTGATAATAAAGCTAAAGATGCAAGAAGGAAAGTACAAGTCATGTTTATACTAGTTCACTTGAAAATTATCAAGTTAGTCTAGTCCATCCGCCAATGTGATTTCGCCTTATCAAACAAGGTCTTAATCCAATAATCACACCAATTATTACAAATGCACAAACTAACTGCAAGTGACTCACATACAACCTCTAAGACACACTAATCTTAGACTTCTCAGGGATTTTGGCCAACTGGTCTCTTAAGACACAATCAAACAGTAGTTTGAAAAAGATTTGTTTATAATAGATTTGCTTCTACACAAGTTGATAGTAAACAATATTTCAAGAACAAATAGACTTAAGAAAATAAAGGAATGTTTATGAACAGTTTTGTGAGAGAATTTGTGAATTAGGAACCTTTTCCTTTAGTCTTCAAGCATATATATAGCCAATAAAATAATATATCCGTTGGAGGATATTTCTGAAAAATTCAGAAAGCTGGCAACTTAATTTTACGTGGGGGACGAGATCGTACAACACATCCATCCTTTCATGGTAGTGGCGAAAAACGTTTGTTTGCACCATGTGCTATTGTACCACGTAACCTTATATTTTTTTCTTCATGACTTTAGAGGCTTCTAATTGAGCATGAGTTAGAAGAAAGAAAATAACACTTGGATCATTAAAACTTCAAGTCTTCAGAGTCTTCAGAACTTCATCTTAAGAGTCTTCAACACTTGATCTTCAGAACCCTTTGTCTTCAGAAACATAAGTCTTAAGCATATGGAATGTTCATCAGAACTTCTGTCTTCAGATCTTCAGAACTTGGTTTCTTTGACCGTGTATCAGAGTCCAAACTTCAGAGCCTTCTGAAGTGGTTTGCTATTGTTTATCATAACTTTTGTAGCGCAAAAGCGGAACTTGGTCTCTTCTAATGACTTGGCAACGCCTTTCATCAGAAGCAGAACCTGTTTGTTAAATACTAAAAATAACAAATATTAGAGTACCAAAATTGTTCATACAAACATACTCGTTGTTATCATTAAAACTCAGAGATATGATTGCAAAACTAAATCTTGTTCTAACGATCTCCTTTTTGATGATGACAAAATTATGTATTTTGATGACACAATTTTGTACATAATTAGAAAAAGTATAAAAAATAAGAAGGATAAAAAATACTTATCATTTATATGAAACTCCCCATAAATTTAAGAATTGGTGAATATCATATATCCTGATTATGAATTGTCTGGTTAAAACTCCCCTTGGTTGCAATAAATCAGATATTGAGATCTTGAGAGTCTTGATTCTTGATGTCAATCATGCCAATTGAGACCTTGAACCTTTGGTGTCTCAAAAGACAAATTCCAGATTTCAATTTAGAGCCTGATTATGAACTTAACCTTCTCAGAGTCTGATTCCAAAAGTTAGACAAAATCTTGTATAACACTTTCAGATCTTGATTTCAAACAAAGTTCATGATTCTTGAAAAAGAAAACAATTCTAACAAAAACAAAAACTTATATTGGTTAGAATGTAAGCAACTTCCCTTATTTCAGAGAAGTTTTTCAGAGAATTTGATTATTAGAATCAAAATATTACTTTAATATTTTACTCCCCCTTTTTGTCATAATAAAAAAAGTAATTATGTGTGAAAAACGTAAAACAAAAGAAATAAAAGAAGAACCAATGAAAAGAAAATAAGAAGTAAACATAGCGAGACTTTAATTGAATTCAAAATGAAAACATCAGATAGAAGGACGAAAAATAAAAGAAACAAACAAAAGCCTAAGGTTTAGAGCAAAAGGAAAAAAAATCCTAAGAGCCTAAGGTCCAGAAGAAGACGGTGTTTGTGTATGTAGCTTTTCCAGAATCAACTGAAGCATGTTCTGAACTGAATCATTAACAACCTTCTATTGAGTCATGCTTTCTATGAAGAATTGTTGCTCTTCTCTGATTACGCCAATTGCTTGTTCTAGACGCAAAATGGCAGGATTAGATGATGAGATAATCAGAGCCTATTACCTTGCCCTTTCTGCTTCTTCAGCCTCCTGAGCCAATCTGGATACTTTAGCAGCTCTAGCATTGATATATGCAAATTGTAGCCATTTTTGTATATTCTTTTTGTTGCACTTATCAACTCTTTGTTGTTAATATTGTTAAAACATAGTTTGGTTTTACATCCTTGTAAGAGTTTTGATGATAACAAACTCTCAAAGAACAATTATGCTCCCTAAATAAATATTATGTTTTGTAGAGAAGTTTTGATGTAAGAAGCACAAAAGATGAGATAGACCATTGTTAAAACTCTATTATGACCATCTTACATTGAAGCAATCTGCGCAACACGCTTAAATAAAGAAGTTGTGGTGTTACAACTTCTGGGTGCACTAAATGTTGTGAACAAAGAACTCTGTTATTCTGATATGTAATATTCTGGAAAGAAGTAAATGAGTCAACGATAACATTCAACTTCTGATGTGATCTTTAGCAAGTATGTTCTGAAGCGTTATATTTCATTCATGGCTATTCAAAAGTAACGGCTGAAAGAGGACAAAAATCTCTATGTTTGAAAAGTTTATTAACTACTATTTATCAACATTCCAAAAGGACCTCTCATGCATTGCCTATATAAACAAAACTTGAAGAAGAAATCGTTCACGATTTTGGCTGCGCACTGCAAACGAGAAAATATCACTACCTTCAATCCTTTGTTTTTCAACTGTGTAATACATCACTTGTGTGATACTGTTTTTTGTTAGAAAACATATTTTATACACACTTTCAAATATTATATTGTGTAATACCTTGAGAAAATTGGGTTGTGGTTTAACCTTAAGAAGACTTTGACATTTGTCATTGTATCTGTGTAATCAAGCTTGATTAATGGATTAAGACCTCGTTTGAGAGAGGCGAAATCAACTTAGTTGGTGGACTGAAGTAGTTTGAGTTTAAACGAACCAAGATAACCAACGTGTCTTTTATTTTAAGTTTTAAAAATCTAATTCAAACCCTCTTACTTGTGTTTTTCCATTTTTCAATTGGCATCCGAGCGTCTGGTTCTGAGTGCAAACACTTAACTGTGTCAGAAAAAGATACAAGCAGGAAAAATACTATGGTGGGACCAAGTCAGAACATCAACAATGGTTATCATGATGAAAAAGACAGAATCAACGACAAACCTCCAATCTTTGATGGTGAAAACTTTGATTACTGGAAAGACAGAATCAAAAGTTTCTTTCTAGCTCATGACATTGATCTCTGGGATATGGTGACTGATGGGTACATACATCCAGTTGACGAAAGCGGTCAGAAGATCGACATAAAAAGAATGACAGATCATCAAAAGAGAGAATTTAGAAATCATCACAAAGCCAGAACAATTCTCTTGAGTGCTATATCATACACAAAGTATGAGAAGATCATAAACAGAGAATCAACAAAACACATGTTTGACTCCTTGAGAATGACGCATGAAGGCAACACGCAAGTCAAAGAAACCAAAGCTCTTGCTCTCATTCAGAAGTATGAAGCTTTCAAAATGGAAGAAGATGAAACCATTAATACAATGTTCTCAAGATTTCAAATTCTGGTTGCTGGACTAAAAGTTCTGGATAAAGGGTACTCAACTGCAGATCATGTAAAGAAAATCATCAAAAATTTACCCAAGAAATGGAGACCCATGGTCACATCCCTAAAATTGGCCAAAGATCTGAACAAAATATCTCTTGAAGAACTTGTCAGCTCCCTGAGAAGTCACGAGATAGAACTAGAAGAAGATGAGACCCAGAAGCAAGTTAAGTCTTTAGCTCTTAAATCTAACAAAAAATATGAACCTAAAGTTTTACAGGAAAAAGAAGAAAACTCTGGTGGATCCTCGTCAAAAGAAGACGAACTATCCCTTCTCTCCAAAAGAGTCAATCAGCTGCGGAAGCACAGACAGAGGAAGTTCAGAACTTCTAGAAGAACATGAAACCATTCTGAAACATCTTTTGGATTTAGAAAATCAAGCAACAAAGGTATTGTTTGCTACGAATGCAATGAACAAGGTCACTACAAAAGCGACTGTCCAACTCTTCAAAAAGAGAAATATAAAAAGAAGTTCTTTAAAGAAAAGAAGAAAAGCTTCATGGCAACATGAGATGACTCTGAATCTTCTAAAGCTGAAACAGAATCAAAAGTTGAAAGAGCCAACATAGCCCTAATGGCCAATGTATCAGATGACACTAGATCATCTGAATCAGAATCGGACTCAGAGGCAGAAGAGATGTCTTTAACAGCAAAATTGAAACACCAATCTTGATACCTGGACTCTAGATGCTCTCGACACACGACGAGAAGAAAGCATATGTTCTAAAGCCTGGAACTTAAATCTGGAGGCTATGTAAGTTTTATAGGCAATCAGAAAGGAAATATTATTGGCTCTGGAACTATTAGTAACAATACACTTCCTTCTATAACTAATGTTCTGTTAGTAGATGGATTAATGCATAACTTATTATTCATAAGTCAATTAAGTGATAACGATTATGATATAATCTTCAATCAAAAGTCCTGTAAAGCAGTTAGTCAGAAAAATGGATCTATCCTATTTAATGGAAAGAGAAAGAACAACATTTACAAAGTAAAACTTTCTGAACTTAAAAGTCAGAATGTAAAATGCCTAATGTCTGTTAACGACGAGCAATGAGTCTGGCACAAAAGATTGGAGCATGTTAGTATGAGAAGAATATCTCAGATTAACAAACTTAATCTGGTCAGAGGACTTCCTAATCTGAAGTTCAGCTC